GTTGTCGCTTATTTTCTGGGTAACGAGAACTTTACTTTGACTTTTATTATTGTTCAATGTGTCGTCGTTTGGTGATCGTGATCGTTTTCCAGATTTCGGCCGCTGCATAATATTTAAAAATAAAACTTCAAGAACTTTAGCTGAGTTGCAGTATAACAGCGGAATTATCGATATCGCAAAACCTTCAACAATATACCAAAATATACCTTCTCTGTTTAAAAATATACCGTAAATAAACCGTAATCTTGAATCATAGTTCGCGTTTTGATGTTCTATTTAATATTACTGGCTGGTTAAGAGTCTCAGAGCTAAAACTGTACTTTTATCTGATTTATCAATAAATTCTATACAAGATTAGCTAGTTTTTACGACTTCCTTTTTTTAGAATGTTTCCAAATTAAGTTTTGAACTAAAAACGTCAACCAACAAATTTGACAAGTCAACTTGTCTTGCTTGTCAACTTGTACGCTTAGTATAGTATGGCATTTGTATACCTATTCCCATTAATAAATGTTAATAAACAAATTGTTAAATGGCCACTCTGCTGAGTTGCCGGCTACATTAAGTGTTGCAAAACGATAAAGCTTGTTCCGCCAGTGCGAAAGTTTTCATTTGCGATGGTGCGCAGATTGCGTCGAAGTGGAGTATTTAAATATGTACAATTTTTGCTATGCTCACCTGCTAAATCATGTTGAATATAAGGTGTTGAACTATTTGTTGTCGAAGTGTTTTCACAATTTATGTTTTTGCTTGACTGCCAGCGTTTTGTTTTGTTGTAGAATATTTTTGTCGTGTGTTTACTGGGAGAAGTGATTTACATGCGTGAATCAATTCTTTTTGAGCTTGGTGTTGCGGTTAAGTTTCTGCGGCCCCGCAGAGTTTTGCACATAAGCGCCGCGGTCATAGGAACGTTTTTTTAGGTAACGAAACCCGCCGTTTGACGACTTAGATGACAAGCGGTTACGGTCACCTTTCTTGGTGTCCAAACGTCGCTGGGCAGCATTCTGACATACTTTACGGACAACGGCCAGACGATCAAGATCGGCTTCAATCAGTCCAGATTGTTTTATTTTCGGACTGCGACGCATTTCCCGTCCACGGTATGGCTTGGGCGGCGACACCGCCAATGGCTCGTCGCAAATTTCATCTTTCCAGGTATTCGGCGAGTTCGAGCGGTTGGGATTCGAAATTTCAATCAATCTTTGGACACCGTTAGGTCGTAGTGTCTTTCCATGTTGGCCATGGCTGTCATCATCCGATGAACTCTCGTCCTCATCGCTGCTCATTGACGTCTCCTTCAGATGCTCTTCCCAGTCCTGCTGCATCTCCTCGACAGGGGTAAACTCACGGGACTTGCCCTTGTGACTTACCGGCTTCTGCCGAGGCATTTTATAGCAGGTGTGGTTATATTACAAAATATAGACAAAAATATCTATCGTCCTTATGCAGGTTGAAGGTTACACCACGAACACTCTCCAAATTAAGTTTCCAAAGTAAATAAATTCCAAAATAAATTTCAAAAGAAAAAAAGTACATAAATAATTCTCTAAGGCCCTAGAGTAAATTTCAGTGCACTACTTTTGTGTACACTAAAAATATATATCTCAATATCAAATCTATGGAAAGGCAAAGCTTACTAACGATAGAGTTTTAAATCGTACAAACAATTTTTAAAATTACTCACGTTATCTGTGAAACTAACCAAATAGTATAGAAGACTCTTAACTTCCTACAAGCGAAACGTCACCGCTCAATGTGCGTCTCGGAGTCCCAGGCCTCTGCCAAAGTCCCAGCTACAAGTATTAGTGCGTGTAGAACACGCAGCTAGAAGTCCCAGCTACATGTGTATTAGTGCGTGTAGAGCACGCAGCCAGAAGTCCCAGCTACATTCGTTTAAGTGCGTGTAGCCAGTGACTTTTTAGAGCTCAAATGGATGTGTTGGTGCGCGGACTTTCTGAACAGCGATGGAACGAAAATTCGTTTTGATGTTTTGATAATTGATAATTGTTTGTGATATATTATATGAAAGCATATGCAATTATTTATTAGTTTAAATATTTTATTATATATATATTCTTGATCTATTACTATTACTAAATGTAATGAATGTAAATATGTACAAATCTGTATGTATATGATAAATAATTGCATATGCATTCATTTAATATATCACAAACAATTTTATACGTACATATGTACACATATAAAACAAAAAAATAGTCGGAGGGAAATTTGCAAGTGTTAATGTGTGTGTATATGTGCAAGGCAGCCGCCTTGCCAGCAAACATGTCTCCATATCCCGTCCGTCACAACTCCATGCTTGTTCACACCATGACTCTGAATACTCTAATGGAAACGAGAAGGGACGTGTGAAACGCTTTTTACGAGTCACAACTTTTATACCCGGCACTCAGTACAACATCTGCGCCTTAGCGGTTATTTGTCAAATTTTAAATTTTTTCTTCATCTGTCATCTACATCAAAATCACTACTCACACCAACACGCTCCTTAAGCTCGCCGCCCTTCCCTAGACCCACACACTACAGATTCGCGGCAGAGGCAGCGCCCGCACACAAACAAAAAAACAAATATAAGCTGCGGGACGGGGTGTGTTAAAAGTCGGAAGAGGCATTGGCAGGGGAAGGGCAGAGGCAGGGGCCGAGTGAAGCAGAATATGTTATATTCTCTGAGAAATAGCCGACACACAAGACGGACAGACAGACATGGCTCTATCGACTCGTCGATTGATGCTGATCAAGAATATATATACTTTATGGGGTGGGAAACGCTTCCTTCTGTGCGTTACATACAACCGTTATTCACACAAATACAATATACTCTATTTACTCTTCGAGTACCGGGTATAAAAAAACAAATATAAGCTGCCGGACGGGGTGGGTTAAAAGTCGCCAGAGGCAGGGGCCGAGTGAAGCAGAAGCAGAGTGTGAATAAGAGAATGTGAAAAGAACAACAAAAGCTGCGGGACAGGGTGGGTTTAGCCACTGGAAATTAATTTCTTCATTCTGGCTATAATAATGATCCAATCAGATCCCAATTAGGTGATCTGATAGATATGGCCATTCCCTAAGGAATGGCGTTTTTAGTTTTCTTTTATCTTCAAAACTGTAGGTTTGGGTGATTTTCGCCATTTTGCGGGGCGGGGCTCATTTTTGAAATACACTGGTTTCAGTGTGAGCTCACAGCAGTCTGGAGCCACAATTTGGTGGCTCTAGCTCTAATAGTATCTGAGAACTAGCCGACAAACAAGACGGACAGACAGACAGACATGGCTCTATCGACTCGGCTATTGATGCTGATCAAGAATATATATACTTTATGGGGTCGGAAACGTTTCCTTCTGTGCGTTACATGCATCCGTTATTCCCCACAAATACAATATACCATATTTACTCTTCGAGTACCGGGCATAAATATTTGCAACGCCAAGTCAATTGACGTAATTCATTATTTTTATACATATTCAGATGTTTATATCCGTTACCCCTTTCATCCTAAATTATATAAAGCATATAAAGTCACACAAAATACATTTATTTTGATATTGACGGGCAAGCTTCTTCATAAAGTCTTGAGGGTTTTCATTTTGAATGGTATGTGAGCTCACAAGCAACAAAAAAAATGCAAAAGGTTTCAAGCGCGAACAGAAATTGGAAAGATATGTATATGTACAAACACACATATGTACATATATGCATAAATACATATATATGTGTTTATATATATCTGAAAAATGTTGTCTGTAAAAGATGGATTTGGTAACAATGTTGATAATACGGCAGCAACGAAGTCGAGAAGCGAAGGCGTTTCCATAATATATGGAACTCAAAACTTCAGAAAGTCAGCGCACCAACCCATACATTACTTGCAGTGTCCGTGTGAATCAAGACAAAACCGGTTTGGAGCGCTAAAAAATCATTGGCTACACGAACTTAAACAAATGTAGCTGGGACTTCTGGCTGCGTGCTCTACACGCACTTATACAAATGTAGCTGGGGAATTTATTCCTCATTGGTCCCGTTCCTGCTGAGGATAGAAAGCCACGTGGCAAGTATCCTCAATGCTGCTGCAAACAATCGCATTTGTGGATAATATTACGTTAGAAGCGTGTCCCGTGATGCACCATCAGTCCCACTGGGAAAAGTTCTGCAGCAGGGATTGCATTTGCTTAGCTTTAAAATTATTTGTGTCCAAATAACTACACTACACCACACTAACACTACACGGCGGCACTCTCAACACACACGCAAATGTACCGTATCGAGTCGCCATCTTGGAATCCAACATATAGAAGAACAGAAAATACGTTTTTTACAAAAGTGTTTATAAAAAGCCTGGTCCGCAATCCTGAGAAAGTGCCACTCATTCTTTGGAAGGTGTTTATTTGTATAGTGTGGTGGTGGCTCTGTGGTGGATTCCATGACCAGTTTTTTATATTTATTTACATGAAGTATGTATTTATGTGTATGTTTGTTTGTGTTCGTGAATCGAAGCCCAGTTTCATCTTCCCCGGTCCTTGAACATGATGCGTGTGTAGGTGTGAAGTGTGTGTGGAGGGGTAGCAACCTGGACCGATTCACGGATGACGGACCTAAGCGAAATACATTTGGCAGCGCTCGCACAACGGATCGTCGGCCTCTTCGGGATCGCTTCCACTGCAGGGACGACACAGAGAAAAAAATGTATTAGTCCGCTGCCGCACAAACACACATGGATTTACTCACAATACGGTAACGCAAGCGCGGCAAATGAACGTGGAACACTCGCTACACGAGTATCCGCACTCCTCGCACAGGTCATCAGTGCAATTGCCACAACGGTCGTGTATAAGGGTCAAACGATGGCAGCAGCGCGAGCGCCTGCGCTCTAACCCCGGATTTATGACATCGTTTGCCAAGTTGCGAATGGTAATGCCACCGTTGCCTGTAAGTCCATACAGTCTAAATTGCTCAGGTGGTGGAGCGATGATGATAGCACCGTCATCCGGAGTTTTCTCTGCAAGTGTACATAAGTTTTGGTTTAATATTTCTTAAGTTAAACATTTTTGGCGGTTAACTTACCATGAATTTGCTTCATTTTTTCTTGATTTGATTTGTCGCTTATTTTCTGGGTAACGAGAACTTTACTTTGACTTTTATTATTGTTCAATGTGTCGTCGTTTTGTGATTGTGATCGTTTTCCAGATTTCGGCCGCTGCATAATATTTAAAAATAAAACTTCAAGAACTTTAGCTGAGTTGCAGTATAACAGCGGAATTATCGATATCGCAAAACCTTCAACAATATACCAAAATATACCTTCTCTGTTTAAAAATATACCGTAAATAAACCGTAATCTTGAATCATAGTTCGCGTTTTGATGTTCTATTTAATATTACTGGCTGGTTAAGAGTCTCAGAGCTAAAACTGTACTTTTATCTGATTTATCAATAAATTCTATACAAGATTAGCTAGTTTTTACGACTTCTTTTTTTTAGAATGTTTCCAAATTAAGTTTTGAACTAAAAACGTCAACCAACAAATTTGACAAGTCAACTTGTCTTGCTTGTCAACTTGTACGCTTAGTATAGTATGGCATTTGTATACCTATTCCCATTAATAAATGTTAATAAACAAATTGTTAAATGGTCACTCTGCTGAGTTGCCGGCTACATTAAGTGTTGCAAAACGATAAAGCTTGTTCCGCCAGTGCGAAAGTTTTCATTTGCGATGGTGCGCAGATTGCGTCGAAGTGGAGTATTTAAATATGTACAATTTTTGCTATGCTCACCTGCTAAATCATGTTGAATATAAGGTGTTGAACTATTTGTTGTCGAAATGTTTTCACAATTTATGTTTTTGCTTGACTGCCAGCGTTTTGTTTTGTTGTAGAATATTTTTGTCGTGTGTTTACTGGGAGAAGTGATTTACATGCGTGAATCAATTCTTTTTGAGCTTGGTGTTGCGGTTAAGTTTCTGCGGCCCCGCAGAGTTTTGCACATAAGCGCCGCGGTCATAGGAACGTTTTTTTAGGTAACGAAACCCGCCGTTTGACGACTTAGATGACAAGCGGTTACGGTCACNAAATAAACCGTAATCTTGAATCATAGTTCGCGTTTTGATGTTCTATTTAATATTACTGGCTGGTTAAGAGTCTCAGAGCTAAAACTGTACTTTTATCTGATTTATCAATAAATTCTATACAAGATTAGCTAGTTTTTACGACTTCCTTTTTTTAGAATGTTTCCAAATTAAGTTTTGAACTAAAAACGTCAACCAACAAATTTGACAAGTCAACTTGTCTTGCTTGTCAACTTGTACGCGTAGTATAGTAGCGAAGTAGCGATTAAATTAAAAAAAAAACATCGCTGCTAGCAAATTGTGCAATTCATTTTGCTAGCAGAAAAGTGTGAGCAAAGGTGAATATTATAATATTGAATAACCTTCAATTTTCAAACATCAACATCGTGAAATTTGATCTAAGACTTCTGTATATTACGGTATATTTTTAAAATGAGATGTTATATTTTTGAGTGTTTGACGGTATATATTATCGATAGTTCCGCGGTCACACTAACAACGCGTTCGTGGTGCCGGCTGTTGTTTCACAACACTGTTAAAGGGAGCATTTTTTTCTTAGCTGCTGTATTTTTTTTATCAAAAATATAGTTTTATATTAAATTTCGCACAAAGTTCCAACAAAAATGGATGTTCGCCCAAATCAGACCATCTACATAAACAACCTGAACGAGAAGATCAAAAAGGAGGAGCTGAAGAAGTCCCTCTATGCCATCTTCTCGCAGTTCGGCCAAATTCTCGACATTGTAGCCCTGAAGACACTGAAAATGCGCGGCCAGGCGTTTGTTGTATTCAAGGAGATTGGCAGTGCATCCAACGCGTTGCGTACAATGCAGGGCTTCCCGTTCTACGACAAGCCCATGCGTATCGCCTACTCCAAGTGCGACTCGGACATAGTGGCGAAGCTGAAGGGTACATTCAAGGAGCGCCCCAAGAAGGTGAAGCCACCAAAGCCGACACCGGGCATCGATGACAAAAAGTAAGTAGCCGCAATTCCCATTCGCATGCAGAAACCATAATCAAATATTTGTGCTTTCGCCCAAAGGGACAAGAAGAAGAAGCCGGTCACCACTGAAAATTCGAATCCAAATACTCAAACGGAGCAGCCGCCAAATCAAATTCTATTCCTTACCAATCTGCCGGAGGAGACCAACGAGATGATGCTGTCGATGTTGTTCAATCAGTTTCCCGGCTTCAAGGAGGTTCGCCTGGTGCCAAACCGCCACGACATTGCCTTTGTGGAGTTCACCACCGAACTGCAGAGCAATGCCGCAAAGGAGGCGCTCCAGGGCTTCAAGATTACACCCACACACGCCATGAAGATTACTTTCGCCAAGAAGTAGGATCACACCCTCCACGGCTGTAGTGCAAACACCCTTCCCCCCTGTAGCCCCGAGTCCATTTTTTTTTGATAAAAATGCTAATTTAAATAGAATAAAAACCAAACCATTATAAAAAAAAAACAAATTTATCGGAATTCTACTCCATATGTGTTCATGTTTAGTCAGCATTATTAACAATTCAACAATTTGTGGTTATTGCAAGTTAATTAGTGTTTAGTTTTTAAGAACAGTTATTAACACACATGTGTGTGAGTGTGTGGGGTGCACCATGCGTAATTGGTAGCCCCGCTCAATTACGCATGGAATTCATGTCGTCTGGCTGTCATTGCACCTATAGACAGTCGGTTAATCATTACTTATAGCGTGTGTATCTCCATTGATCAGATTGCTATCGAAAACCAGGCAGCCCTTGCTGGTCGATAGCATCGAATAATGTTTTAGAATAACTTCAAATTTATGTTGTTGGCTCTTTGGCTGGCTGATTGTGCCGCCAATCGTTACCATTTCTAGTTTGTGTTGTTGATTCTTAGATTGTTTTCTTGTGTTTTTGCATTGCTGGCTGTTTAGTGTCACACAAAATGGTATATGCCGTTTGCGTATCCCATTTCTGCTGCTCATGTGCCATCGTTTTCCAGGAGCCTTTTGCTGGTCGATGGCCTCATGGTCGATTTTGTTTGGTGTCTACAAATTACAAATTTTGTTACATCCTTGAACTGCAGTTTGTTTCGACAACTTACTTTGCTGTGCTTTTGTGTGGTGTGGGGCTGCGGCTAAGGCTTTGTAAGGTTGTTTAATTCTCCAGAACACCCTCCTGGTCGATGGCCTCGATAGCGCCATCGTTGGTGGTGTCGGCGGCAGCTGCATCCTCAGCCTCGGCAGTCCCCGATTCGATTGAGCTGATTGATTGAGCGCTCCCACCCTCGCTAGGGCCCGGCTCGTCGGTGAGCTGGTCGCACTCCAACTGGCACTCGCAGACGTTGGTCACATACTTCTCCATGGACTTGGCCAGCTTGTCGGAGTTGCTGCCAGCGAAGATGTCGACTACGGCCCCGTTCTTCATAAACACGAACGTAGGCATGCTGGTCACGTTGTACTTGATAGTTATGTCCTCGTTGTCGTCCACGTTCACCTTGAGGACAACGGCGCTGTCGGCATACTGCTGGGCCAGCTCCTCCAGCTTGGGGCTGATTATCTTGCAGGGCCCACACCAGTTGGCAAAGAAGTCGATCACGATTAGCTTGTCTCCGGCCTCGAGGACCCGCTGATCGAGATCCTCCTTGCTCTGCACCAGATGAACCATCGTTAGTGAAGTTCTAAAAAAAAAATTTGCAACACGACTTTTTTCTTAAATTTTTTTTCCCCCTTTTTTGGGACTTACGAATTTGGAAAAAAAATCAAACTTATACGGTTGAGGTGCGACTAACGACTGAAATCCGTCTAGAGCAAACAACTGAATGTAGCATACAGCTTAGACTTTTCCAAAACCAAGGCCTACTTTATTCACTAATTTTTTTCAAATTTTTGCCCGATTTCCAGCAGTGCTGTGTAGTGCAGCATTTGGGTGTTGCAAGCTACGTAGTTACGTATGACACCAACTGCACGCCATTTTGAAGGTAAGAGAGAAAGAGAGTGGAGTAGTGGACAATGCAATTCCACGAATTCCAGCTTAAAATTGGCGCGAATTCCATAATCCATAATCCGCTAGTCGAACGAAGCTATAAAAGGCAACCCCGGGGACCACGCGGAACCACAAGTAGCCAAAAATTAGTGTCAAGCCATCGCGTCCACCCGCTTGAGCTAAACTCGAGACTGCAAAGTTCTTTATACAGTTTTTGTTGAATTTGTCGCGTGCTAAATATGACCTGCATCCGTAGCGTGAACGACTTTCAGAAGAAAATGGATGCTGCCGAGAATAAGGTTGTGGTCTTGGACTTTTACGCCACATGGTGCAAGCCCTGTAGAGACATCAGTAAGACTGTTAAGTCTTTGGCCGAGAAGTACTCTGCCGAGGCGGTCGTACTCAAGATCAATGTGGACAGGTACGAAGATCTGGTGGAGCAATACAAGGTCACCTGCATGCCTACATTTGTGTTCCTGCGGGGCAAGAAGCGCCTTGCCCGCATCGCTGGCGTAGATGAGAACAAACTGATGAAAACGATGGCAAAGCTAATCAAGCCTCAGCGGGAGAGAGCAGGCTTGACCGCAAATTTTTAAGCTAACCTTTTTATATTACTGAATGCGTTATGTGTCTTTGTAACCCTCGAAGGAGGGAAAATGTCTTTGTGTATGTTTAGAATGTGGGAAAATATTTGTTTTCAGTGTGAAATCTGCGAAAACTATCTCAAACATAACCTCACATAATTGTAAGCAAGGCATCTGCGATGTCGCGCCCCCTTCCCCTACGCCTCAACATAACCTCAGTCTCATACCATGAGGAAAAGAAAACGAAAAGAACAAACAAGAAATTGCGTATGTATGTAGTCGTGCATCTGTGATGCGAAAATGCGATACAAAAATGTTGCCTTAAAACTATATTTGATTAATATTTAACGTGTTATGTAAGCTTGGAATGCCGCCGAAAGAAGAAAAAACTACTCGAAATGCCTTTTAACTGATAATTTGTTTGATTTAAACTTTAATAATAAATATTCCAAAATTGACTAAAAAGTATGGTAAATGTAATGTAACTGAATTTTCTTAGTTGGCTTTGGCTTGGCTTTTGAGTTCAGCTACATTAGGAAAATTCGTATTAAATCACATTCACATGAAAAAACAAATTTCGTCATAGTAAAAGCCCGATAAAAAAACTTTAGGACGCAGCTAAATTCTCAATTGCAGTTTACACAACAATTAACAAAGATAATCCGGAAGACACAAAACCAACACTTGTTCAGCAGTTAGCGGGTTAGCAGCAACGCAATCGCATCCATTATGTCGTACCAGATCAAGTCGACGCCGTATTTCCGCCGCATGTACAACAACAGCAAGCGGAATGGGCAGCTGCAGCGTTTGCGGGAGGAGTACGAGCGGATACAGGAGTTCAACGATCGCACCATCGAGCTGAAGATGCGCCAGGTGAGGCTGAAGCGGCTCTTCCGCGAGATCGAGGAAATCAAGGAGGGGCCAGTACCATTGACCAATGGAAACGGCGCAGGTCCTCTGGTGTCTGGCCCGATCGCGTGCAACGCTGGCACCTCCACCGCCACGACCAGGGCCATGCAGCGACGCCGTCGACAGGAGCTAGTGGCGCCAACGGTCGAGCAGCAGCAGTACCTGCAGCGCCTGGACACGCTGGCACGTGCCAAGGAACTGGGGAAGGAGATCTCGCGCCGCAATGCCGAGTTGGCCGAGGCCGGTGCGGGCCACAGCCTGCGCAGTGATCTGCGGCTGACCACCAAAATGCAGGCGGCCGCCGATGCGAAGCGTGCGGCAGCGGACAGACGGGAGCGGGCCGCCAAGCGCATCAGCTATGGCAATGCCCAGTCTAAGCAGAATCTGCAGCGCATCGTGAGCAGCCGGCAGCGGCGTCTCTGTGGTGGTGGATTCACTGGCGCGGGCGCCGCCGCTGCTGGCTCGATGGACTTCTGCTCCACTGGCAGCTCCGGCCAGCAGGAGCCAGCGGCGGCCATCAACATGTCACGGCTGCAGCGTCCGGATCTGACCAAGAAGGCCATGCTCAAGCAGCGTCTTAACTACGGCAACTCGCGCTCCTGCAACAACATGAGGCGTCAATGCCGCCACAAGCAAGCCCAAGGCCAATCCCATGGCCAGGGGCAGGGTTCTGTTAAGTTCTCCAGCCAGATGAATCTCCTGGCCGGCTTCGATGAGGAGGCTGAGGGCGATGGTGATGATGATGATGAGGAGCAGCAGGGGCTGGAGCTACAGAGCGAGTCATCTGGTCACCATGGCCATGGCCACATGCTGGCCCCTTATACGCTCAGCAGCGGGGCCCCCACCGCGATGGAGGACCAGGGGCCACCAGCCACATCATCTGAAGAGCAAGATGACTTGGAGACCGATATGAGCACAGCCCCGCAGGCATCTACATCTCAGGCAACCACCACAATTCCGGCACAGCAAGTGGCAATGATCCAGGAGGATGCGGTGTCCAACACCAACAACAAGAACAGCTGGCTCCGCATCTCCCAGGCTCTGCCGTGGTTCAAGGCCTTCCCCAGACTCCTGGACGGCACCCTGCCTGTCTGCGCCAGCGAGAGCATCTCGTCCAGCAGCAGCTACGATGATCTGGATATCCCTGCCCCCACTCCCACCGTTTTCCAGCAGCAGCAGCAGCATCAGGAGTTCCACCTGCCACCCTTCAGATTCCGTAAAACAAACCATTAAAAGCTGCCGGACCCAGCGATGAAGCAACAAAGCGAAAACAGAAGCAATTAGAAACAAACCAAAATTTAAGTGAGATTCCAGTCCACATTTAGAATCAGATCCCACCCAAAGGGTAAGCAATGGTGTATACATGTCTGGGACATGCTAATGCTTATACACTGATCCTCCAGGACACAGGCGGCTACAATTCTTCTTTTTTGAAACCCCCCAAAAAGAGAGAGAGAAAGAGCAGAGGCAAAAAATTGCAATTGTAACTCCCGAGACGTCAATTAACCTGCCCAATGGCGGAACGGACACGTGTCCACGAGGGCACCAGCCCAAAATGGAATCACGACTACAGGCGGAACACAACTACAGACAGACAGAAACAGAGAGAAGGAAGAGAATCAGAGATAATATATTCACATTTATATTTCTTTTTGGGTGATTAAAAATAAGTCGGAGCAACATTCTTGGATGCTGGTAAAAATAGTCAAAAAGAGTGCAAAAAAAAAAACAAACAAAAAATTAGGAAGGATAATATTCTGTTTAGGGACAGTGCTTCTACACTGTAATTAATTTTCTTTAAGAATTATTTTCCTTTTGTAATATCAGGCGCCCTAGGGCCCAAGGCTCTGTTGGTTCTGCTTCTTTCTCTGCCACATCTCTGGCTTCTCCATTATTTTGGCAATATGATCTGTGTGCTAATCCTCGTCCATCTGTTAATTTATGGCCTGTAGTTGGAGCTGCTTCTTTTGCAGTTTTTCTTTATAGACAAGCCATTTCTGATCATTCTTCTCCTTGGCTTTGAGCGCGGCCTCCTTCTCCAGTTTCCGCCTGGGCATCTCCTTTTTTTTGTAGTCAACAATCCAGTCTAGCAGCGCCTTTTCCAGGTCCTGCCGAAGTGGCTTGTCGCTTGGGGGCATCTCAAATCTCCTGAAATACGATGTGAAAGACATGAGTCCATTGAAATCTTCATCGCTGCCATCTATAGCAACCACACCAGTTTCGAGCATTTCAAAGCTAAACGAGGGAGAGAAGAAGGAAAGAGTTCAGCAGTAGAACATTTCAAAATGGATCTCGCAAAGGAGTGAGTACTCACGAGGGGAGACGCTCGCAAATGTAGCGAATGCGGCGGCCACAATGCTTCTGGATATTTTGCTTGCAAAAGTGATCGCTTTCGCCTGCGAGTTTTTTCCGAATCATAAAGCTGTGCATTGACTTGTCCGAGAGTTTTCTTTTGTAAATTTTGATGAAGTAGATACCCTCCAGGTCGTCCACTTCAATGATTTGGCCATATCTCTCCCAAGAAGTAACTAAGTCACGGAACTTTGCAGTTACGTCGGCAGGCCACTTAAAAGCCAGCGGATGGAGATGCGTGAGTGCTCCCCTAATAGCCATGGCCGGCATTGTGGTGTAAATTTGTGGTAGAAAGCGCAGCTCGCTGCGCGAGGTCTGCTCCAGGCGGCCATAGTCCACATAGAAGACGGAAACATGCGAAGCATTCTCCTGCGGTGTGGAAACAATGCGAACCCGCTGCCACCCACCCCAATTTGATTGGGCTGCACAAATGTAGCCAGGGCGTAAGAAAAATTGAGGAGTTGGCATCCGGTATTGGTTGACACTCAAGTTGTTAATATGTTCTCTATTGTAAAAATCACTGCGGACAGAGATAAATACAAAAATATATCTGGTGGGGCTGGGGGGAGATACACAACAACTTACTTGAGCGCCAAGTGCAGATTTTCCAGATGGGAAGCGAAATGATTATCTGCGAATTGGAACCAAAAATGAAATGGGCTATACACCTGAAACGAGAGAAAGGAAAGTTCATTAACGTAGATCACACTGCTGCTGCTTTCACATACATTGGTTACAAGTATTTTAAACCTAAATTCGGGGTCGGCGTTTTCCATGGGCCACATGGGGAAACGAGGTAGTTTTTGGTCCAGCATCGCCGCATTACTAGGTCTTTCCACCATGTACACTAAATCCGTCTGCTCACAAAAAGAAAAGAAAAGAGACACTTATATATTCATACAGACAAACAATATGTCGGGGGATGCCGTCCACTGACCAAACAGCACTTCGGGATGGCCTGACCACGGTAGTCCCATTTCTCTTCCTGCTGCTCTCCTACGTCTTCATCACTATCGTAGTCGTATGTCAAAGTGGCAGAAGCAGTGGCCTCTCCGTTCAAGCCATCCAGCTTGGACTTCACGAGCTGGACGTTAGCCTCACCGGACAGGCGTTTCACTTCTTTTTTGAGTGATGAATCAGGCTCTGCCTGTTTCTCGACTGACGAAACAGACTGTGCCTCTTCTTCGAATGACGTACCAGGCTTTGGTTCATCATCGGATGATGAGTCGGGCTGTGCCTGGATCTTGTGATAGAAAATGTATTTTTTGTTATAGGCGCATGATTTGCGTCCCAGCAACGGAGCGCATTCGTAGTCAGTATCGCTGCTGTCGACTTCACTCTCTTCGATTGGTAATGCAACTACAGCTTCCACCTAAAAACGAACCAATAGTTAGTGCGAATTGTGTTTGCTTATGTCACAGCAATTACCTGTCGTACGGAGGCAGTTGGTGCATTATATGGTGTGACGCCAACAATGGCGGTGATTTCAAAGCGCGTCAAAGATTCTTTCACGAGGCGCACCACATTCCTTTTTTTCTCAGCAAAGCAAATGGTGCCATTGGTTGCTTTGTATATTTTCGTCAGTTTACCCATGCTTCATTTGTTGTATTTCACGTATTATTAAACGATTTCGGCCAACTTAATGCACACAAGCAGCAAACGACGTCGCACAATATAAATGTGCGCGGGGACGCCGGTTGGACAAGGTGGCAGCGCTGGGCGAGTAACGGAATTCTAGTGAGTAAATCGATTAATAGTCAACTATCGGTAATCTCATATATCTATTACATTTTACAATATTTGGATTTTTTAGTGTAATTGTTATTTTCTTACTTGCACTTCTTACAATGCAGAGCATATATTCGTTACAATGCTTTGTCAAGCGCGACAATGCAGTGGTCGCTGTAGCAGTCTGGCAGCGCCAATTTGTAGCAATGTATCTGCCCTGCAACGATAAATTTGATACCTTTGAAAAAAATCGCCATCGATAGCAGCTCTGGGTTTGTTTACCGCGCACGTGCTGTGGCCGAAATTGTTAAGTGTTATTAAATTAAAATAAATTAAATAGGAATGGACAGCGAAGCAGATGATTATGAGCTGACCGGCTCCGAGCAGGAGTATGATGAAGACGAGCGCGAGATCCTGGAAGACTTGCGCAAACAGCGTAACAAGCGCAAGCAAGACGCATCGGCACCACAGGAGATTCTGGCATTCAGCGATGACGATGAGGACGAAGATGACAATGTGGCTGACCTGATGCGCGACAGCGACATCGAAGGTGCCGACGATGACGATGGCCACCTGCCAAACACCATGGACTGGGGCAGCAAGCGCAGCACCTACTACAACACAGACTTCGTGGACCCCGACTACAGCAGCTACAACGCCCAGGAAGAGGAGGAGGCCAAGGCCGAGGAGGAGGAGGCCAAGAAGATTCAGCTGCGCCTGGCCAAGCGCTTCAGCGAGGCTGACTTCCAGCTAGACGATGTGCCCGCTGCCAGCAGTGACGATGAGGCTGATGGCGATGTGGCCAAATCTAAGGGCATCAAGGTGACCGCCGATCTGACGGGTCTCACGGAGCGTGAGCGACTGCAACTGCTGCAGAAGGACTCGCCCGAGTTCCTAGGCCTCACCCAGGACTTTCAGCTGCATCTGGCCGAGGTCCAGCTGCTGATTACGCCCGTGCTGAACTACGTGCGCAACCATCAGGTGCCCATGGTGCCGGCCCTGCAGTTCGCCAGTCTCTACCACAACGTCCTGTCCACCTACTGCTCAAACGTCTCTTACTACCTGCTGCTCAAGGCCAGACGCATCAATTTTAAGCTGCATCCCGTGGTCAAGCGCCTCGTGCAGCTGAAGCAGTTGCGTGAGCAGCTGACGCCACGCTATGAAACGTTCATTAAGCCCCAGCTGGAGGCGCTACTCGAACGCATCCAGGATGGCGATGCCTTCACAGTCCTCGATGTGGCTCAGCGCAAGGCCAAGCTGCAGATCCTCAACAGATTCGAGCAGAGCAACGCCAAAGAGAACGGCACAGCGACAGCTGAAGTTGCCACTGATGGCAGCAGCGATGACGAGGATGATGACGCACATCTAGCGCCTGACCAGGACGAGGCCGAGGAGGGGGACGACGACCCTGAAGCTGAGGCAGTGCGCCGCGGCATCACGTATCAAATGGCCAAGAACAAGGGCCTTACGCCACACCGAAAGAAGGAGCTGCGCAATCCCCGCGTGAAGCATCGCGGCAAATACCGCAAGGCCCTCATCCGCCGCAAGGGCGCCGTTCGTGCTGTACGCAAAGAGACACAACGCTATGGCGGCGAAATGTCCGGCATTAAGGCCACAGTAACCAAGAGCGTTAAATTCCGTACATAAATAAAAGAATTCAATATTTTTTCTGTTTACATTTTTTGTACATTTATTCCTTTGTTTTTGTATATAATGCGGCACTGGGCGGGAACAACATTTCAACTCGTTCGTTCGGTACGTACGCATGGCGTATATTTGGGTCGCGTGGCTCTGCGGGGTTGGGGTTCTCTTCCCTTCTTTAACAATGATTAAAAAAAAAAGAAACAAATTAAATCGTCTGTTGTGGAGAACAAATTAAAATTAAAAACTATCTCTAATATACATGACTAAATCAATTCTAGATGCATTTTCTTTAGCCAAGCAATTTACGAAAATATAATGCGGCACTGGGCGGGAACAACATTTCAACTCGTTCGTTCGGTACGTACGCATGGCGTATATTTGGGTCGCGTGGCTCTGCGGGGTTGGGGTTCTCTTCCCTTCTTTAACAATGATTAAAAAAAAAAGAAACAAATTAAATCGTCTGTTGTGGAGAACAAATTAAAATTAAAAACTATCTCTAATATACATGTCTAAATCAATTCTAGATGCATTTTCTTTAGCCAAGCAATTTACGAAAATCTTCGTTTGACTTGGGCTTCTCCGACGGTGTCGGTGTCTCTGGTTTTATTGAGGAGTCTGGCTGTGTGCCTGCACTCTGCCCATCGTCTGTCTTGGTGGCCGCATCTGTCTCATTATCAAGTGACAGCACCTTTCGACGCTTGCTGGCCACCATCTCACGGCGCACAACGCTCGGTATTAGCGACATGGCAGCCGTACGACGTTTGGCTGTCGAGACAATCGACGTCTTTGGTGGTGGATCAGAAATGGCAACAGACAGCTGGGAGTGGAAAACAACAGCAATGATAAGCGCTCTCTGCATTCGTTAATGTTTCATTTACAACTTACCACAGATCCGTTTAGATTATGGCCATTCAATTGCTCAACAGCCTTCTGGGCCGATTCGGCCTGCTCGTATTCGATATACGCAATGTTTTTGCGTGTTTTGTACATCCGACTAATGGTTGGTAGCTTTTTTTCCACAAGCCGCACACCCTTCAACGTGCCACAGGAGACAAAGAGTTCGGTGAGCGTCTCAGTTGTAACAGTTGGCATAATATTCTTGACAAACACTTTGGTTTTTTCGAGTTCAGCTGCAATCAAAAGAAGAATATTTCTTTGTATACCAAATGTCGTATATTTTTTGCTTCTTAAATACTCACTTGAATACTTGAGACCTCCTGGGGGTGGTGCTGCTCTAGCTGCTGCTTCTTTGGCACGTGGTGCAGCTGGTGCTGCCTTGGCTCGTGGTGCTCCTGTTGCTGCTGCCTTGGAACGTGGTGCTGCTGTTGCTGCTTGAGCTCGCAGCGGTGGCTGCGATGTTTTCATGGGTTTTCTCCCTCTTGGCTGATCACGACTGAATTGATGCCAGTGGGGCTCTGTGGGCAGCTTTATCTCCTGGCATGTCGTGATGGACTTGTAGTCGCCGTGGCAACGCTCATAGCGACGATATTGTTCGAGAACAAAATGACCATCCTTCAGGACAGGCCGACTAAGGGCCTGGTTTAAAATCTCGCGACAACGAGCGCCGCCATTAAATTCGGACTCCATTTGGGCCCAAGTCATCCAAAGGTAGCCGCTTCGCTGGCTATCCTCGTAAGCTGCAACCAAAAACAAATATTTAACAATTAATTCGATCCGATGGAAATAGAATAACAACAAAAACTTACACATGATATACTCCCAGACTTTGTATCCCTGTTCTGGATTCAAGAATTTGGAATACTCCACTTGGGCATAGAGCTGGAGCACCTCGTAGCTGTTGTCGGCCTTCTCGCCATACAAATCGGAGAGTGTGTTCCACGCCGCATCGAATTTTTGGCGCACCTCGGTGCACTGATCCATGTCCGATAGGTCGCAGTTGCGTACCCTGTACGCCAAGTAGTCCAAATGCAGCTCCACCGTTTCTATTGAGTTGATTTCCAGACGGGGGAGGATGCCCTCCAGCACGTTATCCACCTCCTGCACGCTGTAGCCTTCGGTCTCCATCAAATGAATGAGCTTATGGTTGACCAGCCGACTGGTTGTGCTCATTGCAGCACGCTTAGCCACTTCCAGGGGGCTGCTTATCTGATAGCCGCCTGTCGGGCGCTCTACACTCTTGCTGGTGTAGTTGATGTAGTCGAGCCAGACCCTTTCGACTCTCCGAAAATTCGAGACGGTTATTTCAAATATTGTGCAGCCCAAGGCATCGCGAATCTCGTCCCGGTAGTCCATATTGTTGATTTGCTCCAGTTGCATAATGTGCACCGGGGAGAAGCTCTCCAAGTTCTCACGATCATAATTTACGAGGGGGCTCAACTTCTTCTTGTACTGATCCAATAGCTCAGCCAACTCTGCGCACTTGGCATCATCCAAGTCCCAGTTAATGCAGCGAGTCTCCATCGCCGCTTTGAGAGCTTCGGCATTTTTGTGTGCATCCGGTGCAGATACCAAGAGCTCTCGCAATTTCTCTATGAAATCAGGATTCTCCAAGGAATACTTGGACATCAGCGACGACCACAGTGAGATGTTTTCAATGTTCTTCTGAGCACACAAATAATTGCAGATCATATTGGCCAAATCAACATCTAGCAGGTGGACAGGACATAAATAAGGTGTGCAAACAGCGGCTGTGCTGTGCTTTGAGTTTGCTTACCGTAGTAGGAATTCAAGGCTTCGATACAGGCCTCTTCGAATGCACTGTGCTCCTCACGAGACTGGGTAACCAGGAGGCGAACGCGCAAGTCTTTGCGCCATAGCTCTGGTGGCATAGTGGCAATCTTTTTGTACTGCACAGCAGCCTGCATAATCATATCGTAGTCATTCAGAATGCTGCAGATAAAACAACAACATTACAGGGAGAATTGTGGCCAGGTCGTACAAGTAGTGTTTACGCTTACAAGGCAATTTCGCTCATCCGCATCACTTGGCGGTGCGTCAGCTTGCTATATTTTGATAAATTGTCAAACTCTGACTTCAACTCCTGCTCCTGTTTTTCCTTCACCAGCGACTCGGAGCCGCTCGAGCTCATCGAATCGCTATCGGATTCGTCGGAATCCGAGCTTATTTCAATGGGGGCAACGTTGCTGGGCGAATCGCCGGCATTTTGAGCCTGCAAAACAGTTGTTCATATTAACTTTCAAAGGCTCCTTCAATCAACAACTAAAAGTGCACTCACCTCTTCAGCTGCGTCACTATCCATTTTGATCAAATTCTTTTCTTTAATGGTAGTCTTATTTGCAGACTTGACGAAACATAAAAAATGTTTTTTACGCGCGAACTGTAATTCTTGATAATTTTGTCGAGAAAGAAATATATATGATATTGGTGTGCCCAGATGTTAAAATTCCAGCCTTGCCATAGTCTTGGGACAATCTTTCAAATCGATACTTTTGACGCAAATATCGGCTACCCTAAAATACTAGCTACTTTATTTCAATAAATCAATCTTCTAAAATTTATATATGTTCGAAAAGAAAATATATATGTATGTTTGTACGAACGGTCACACTGCTCCCGCTCTGCCACTTGCCTATATATTTACTCGCACGAATTAAATTGTTTTTATTCCCGTAAACGTACGCGTCGTCACGTTGCCATAGCACCAACACAGCAAGCACAAACAAAAAAAAAAACAACGAAGAAATATAAGAACGACGCAGTTGTGATTTGGCAATGTTATTTCTCCAGTAAAGTGCAGCAATAAGCAAAACCTTGAAACGAAATCAACAATATCAGAATGGAGCCTTTGCATCAACTGCTGATGCTGTCATCACTGCTCCTGGTGGCCGGCATTTGCTTTATGCCCCAAGTGCTGACGGCTGAACAGGACAAGGTTCAGATTGTCCACTACCAGCCGGAGCAAGTGCATCTGGCCTTTGGCGGTGAGTCTTTTGCATTATATAAATATATGTGTGTTCGTGTGAAAATGAATGTGTGTAGTGTGTTGTGTGCATGCATTGCATGATGTGTCCAAATGACTGTACTATCCCATCCCAGTAGTAAATTGCAAGCAAATCAAATCGAGCACTGACTCCCCCTCCCCTCCAGCTGTCCAGTGCTTTGTTAGCTTTAAGTACAGCTTACGCACACACATTTTTTATGGATGAGGCCGGGGGAGAAAAACTCTTAACGAATGATTTGCAGCTGTTATGGCTATAGATAGCTTCGCGGCTCAAGTGAAAATATTGGGAAAATAAATAACATTTCCAATTATAGAACTAGGACTTGAGACGTGTGTGAGAGTGGCGAGGGGCGGCAAAAGCCGTAGCGATAAGGGCGTAATCCGAGCAGCATGTGTGTGCTAGTTTCTAAGGCACCGAATGCGATAAGAAAACAAAAGAGCTGCGGAACAAAGCAAACAAAAACAATAGAAATTAATCAGCAAATGACATTTGATCTTGAATGCCTCTGATGCACTTTCTGAACCGTACTCCCCCCTCCCACCCCCATTTTGGCCAACAGCGAAATTGCTCAAGTTTTGTTTCTCTTTTCTGCATTCCATTCCCACATTCCCACATGGCTTGAACCTCGCCAGAGCGCACCGCCAGCGAGATGGTTGTCACCTGGTCAACGCGCAGCCTGCCGCCGGACACGGCCAGCATTGTCGAGTACGGACTGATAGTGGCCGGACAGTCAACCCCCTACAGGCTCAATCAGCGTGCCCAAGGCACGGCCACCAAGTTCGTGGATGGCGGCCGCAAGCACTCAACACAGTTTATCCATAGGGTAGGCGCATAGCGGACAGCGACCGATCTCGTGACAAAACAGACACTCATCCAGGCCGCTCTCATTGCCTCCCTCCCACTTAGGTGACGCTTAGCCAGCTAGAGGCGAACTCCTCGTATGCCTACCACTGCGGCAGTGGCCTGGGCTGGTCGGCCGTTTATCAGTTTCGCACGGTGCCCGCAGCCGACGCGGACTGGTCGCCCTCGCTGGCCATCTACGGGGACATGGGCAACGAGAATGCCCAGTCGCTGGCCCGCTTGCAGCAAGAGACGCAGCTGGGCATGTATGATGCCATCATTCATGTGGGTGACTTTGCTTACGACATGAACACGAAGGAGGCGCGCGTCGGGGATGAGTTCATGCGACAGATCGAGACAGTGGCCGCCTACCTGCCCTACATGGTGGTGCCGGGCAACCACGAAGAGAAGTTGTGAGTAGTCGAGTTGGTTGAGGAGCAGTCCAGGTCCAGGTACAGGACAGGTGTGCTAATACCGTGTGCTTTCCGTGCAGCAATTTCTCCAATTATCGGGCCCGATTCAGCATGCCGGGTGGGACGGAGAACATGTTCTACAGCTTTGATCTGGGGCCCGTGCACTTCATCGGCATCTCGACGGAGGTCTACTACTTTATGAATTATGGCGTCAAGACTTTGGTCTTTCAGTACGAATGGCTGAGGAGGGACCTGGAGCAGGCCAATCTGCCAGAGAATCGCGCGAAGCGTCCGTGGATCATCATCTACGGCCATCGGCCCATGTACTGCAGCAACGAAAACGACAACGACTGCACCCACTCGGAGACCCTCACCAGGGTCGGCTGGCCCTTCGTTCACATGTTCGGAATGGAGCCGCTCCTGTACGAGTTTGGCGTGGATGTGGCAATCTGGGCCCACGAGCATTCGTACGAGCGACTGTGGCCCATTTATGATTACGAGGTGCGCAATGGAACTCTCCAGGACTCGCCCTACGAGAATCCCGGCGCACCGGTCCACATTGTGACGGGCTCGGCCGGCTGCAATGAGGGACGTGAGCCGTTCAAGGGCAAAATACCCGAGTGGAGTGCCTTCCACAGCCAGGACTATGGCTATACGCGCCTTAAGGCCCACAATCGCACTCATCTGCACTTTGAGCAGGTCTCCGATGATCAGAACGGAGCCATCATAGATCAATTTTGGCTAATCAAATCGCATCACGGCAGCTATCAGAATCGGAACTAGAACTAACGCGCAGGCCAAACCAACGAGCTGAGTCTCCGGTAAACAACCGAAGAACCTATGGCACCACTGTAGGAACTGTAGGATAACTGGCAGTATTAGTAGCGCACATTTACACAATCACACAAATTAGGAACAAGCTTTACCTGGCGGCTGTAACATTCCCCCCAAATCGATCCCAGAACAAACAAAAAACTATTTTAATTAGACAATTCCAATTTTACTACATGGACTACTACTTATGCAAGTGCATTTAATGATAATATCTTACGCTATAAATGTATACTTTAAGAGTCCCCGCCCCCCTACTCGCATGGTGATCGGAACAGAACGTGGAGGGCAGAACAGGGAGTTTACATTGAGTTCATCTTTATTTCTGTGTATTTGTTGCGGCTGTAGCTCGCTTGTCCGTCTGATCTGCGTAGAATTTATGTACACTTGTTGTCCAAATTCATGTCTATATATTATCGTAGAGAACAGCTTTGTGCACGCTTTTTAACATGTCTGTAGTTGGCTTTCATTTGAGTCTAAATTATCTTTTTGCTATTTTGTTACTCGTTTCCAAGTATTTTTACACCATAAATAGACCAAAAATTTAGAGAGTTTGCACAAAATGTTTGATGTACATATTCTTGGTAAATTGCAAAAAATGGTCTAAAGATTAAAACAATCGCTAAAAATCTTATAGAATCTTTGCATCTTATGGAAGATTTTTCTATTGAATTAATGGAACTCCTTGCAGTTAAAAACGTAGCAAAAAACCGACTTGACTTTTAGAGATTCCAGTGAAAGGGTAGAGTCCCTAGCCTTAACCCACTCAGTTCCATCGATGCCAAATGGCGCTGGCGGGGGCTTATCTTAATGGTCGGATCTCTGCGACCTGTTGGCTTGTTGTATCTCTGTGTACCTTTCGTCTCATTAAACTGCTTTTATCAACCAAACCCAAAAGAAAAAGGTGAATTTACTTACAAGGGCAATCTTTCGTTCGGTTATCAATATCTCTATCTCTATCCCTTTCTAGCGCTTGTCTTTCTGAGCGTGGTGAATAAGTAAATTTGTAGTAAATTCACCTTTATTTGTCTCCTTTGGGGCATGATGAAATTAGTAATCAGGTGACGAATTCACCACAGTGCCTTCTCATTCGAGGAACACCAGCTTGTCAGTCGTTTGCCGCGCGTTGACGAAAGAGTCTTCTTTTTATACTCGGTACTCGAAGAGTAAATATGGTATATTGTATTTGTGTGAATAACGTTTGTATGTAACGCACAGAAGGAAGCGTTTCCGACCCCATAAAGTATATATATTCTTGATCAGCATCAATAGCCGAGTCAATTGAGCCATGTCTGTCTGTCCGTCTGTCCGTCTTGTTTGTCGGCTAGTTCTCAGAGACTATAAGAGCTAGAGCCACCAAATTTTGGCTCCGGACTGCTGTATGCTCACACTGAAACCAGTTTATTTCAAAAATGAGCCCCGCCCCCGCAAAATGGCGAAAACCTCCAAAATCTACAATTTTGAAGATAAAATAAAACTAAAAACTCCATTCCGTAGGGAATGGCCCTAACTATCAGATCACCAAATTGGTGCCAGTATTATAGCCAGAATGAAGAAATTAATTTGCAGTGGCTAAACCCACCCTGTCCCGCAGCTTTTGCTATTCTTTTCACATTCTCTCATTCACATTCTGCTTCTGCTTCACTCGGCCTCTGCCTCTGCCGTCACTCTGCCTCTGCCTCTGCCGACTTTTAACCCACCCCGTCCCGCCGCTTATATTTGTTTTTTTTCGTGTGCGGGCGCTGCCTTTGCCACTGCAGCGAGTCTGCAGTGTGTGGGTCTAGGGAAGGGCGGCGAGCTAACGGAGCTTGTTGGTGTTGAGAAGTGTTGTAGATGTAGATGACAGATGAAGTAAAAATTTAAAATTTGACAAAACACCGCTAAGGTGCAGATGTAGTACTCAGTGCCGGGTATAAAAGTTGTGACGCGTAAGAAGCGTTTCACACGTCCCTTCTCATTTATTTTGGATGTGTAAGTAATGTAATGTGCATGTAATTGAATCTTTATTCAATTAAATCCTTTTTAAAAACAAACATGTCTGAAAAATATTTATTGCTAGCCGCTCCAAATCTTTACTTTGCTGTCAGCAGAAACAATAAAAGCGAAGAGTGCAGAATGTAAAACGTTTGCTATCTCTCTCTAGCGCTTGCCTCTCTGAGAGATGAGAGAGCGGGGTGAATAAGAGGGTGCTCCTCCACTCAGCTGACGACGTCACCTTGTTAGTAATTTCACCATGCTTTGGGGTTAGAGGCTGTGGTGGGGTCTGTGCGTGCGTGCGTGTGTGCGAGTGTGTTTGTGAGCTTCAAAGTTAATCTCGGTTTGCCATGTGCTCCTCCGCTCCTGCAGAAAGCGTGCTCGAAATGGTCGTCACATGGAACACGCGCGACAACACCAACGAATCGATCTGCGAGTTCGGTATCGAGGAACTACAGCGACTGGCAAAGTCGCCGCATGGACCCACAGCCTTTGTGGATGGCGGAGCCAAGAAGGCCACACAGTACATCCATCGCGTGAGTATCCAGGAACCATCCCCGTCCTCTGTGATCCACTAATCCGGTGACTAAATGCAGGTGACGCTGACGAAATTGGAGCCGAACAGCACGTATCGGTACCACTGTGGCAGCCAGCTGGGCTGGTCTGCCACCTACTGGTTCCGCACGCAGTTCAGCCACAGCGACTGGTCACCCTCGCTGGCCATCTACGGGGACATGGGTGTGGTGAATGCCGCCTCGCTGCCGGCCCTGCAGCGGGAGACGCAGCGTGGCCTGTACGACGCAGTCATCCACGTGGGCGACTTTGCCTACGACATGTGCAACGAGAACGGGGAAGTGGGCGATGAGTTTATGCGCCAGGTGGAGACAGTGGCCGCCTATGTCCCATACATGGTCTGTGTGGGCAATCACGAGGAGAAGTAGTAAGTGTGGATCAGTGTGCAGATCGAATCAGAGTGCAGATTAATCTCCATCCCACATCCTACATCATTGACACAGCAACTTCTCGCACTATACCAATCGGTTTAGCATGCCGGGCGGATCGGAGAACATGTTCTACAGCTTCAACATGGGACCGGTGCACTTTATTGGCTTCAGCACGGAATTCTACTACTTCACACAGTACGGCCTCGGGCAGATTGTGATGCAGTACGACTGGCTGGAGCGGGATCTGATTGAGGCAAATTCGCCGGAGAATCGCCTGAAGCGTCCCTGGATCATTACCTTTGGGCATCGTCCGATGTACTGCAGTAATGCCAACAGCGATGACTGCACCAATCACGAGACTGTCGTGCGGAAGGGGCTGCCCTTTCTGGACATGTTCGGCCTGGAGCCGCTCTTTTACAAGTACGGCGTGGACGTGGAGCTGTGGGCCCATGAGCACTGCTACGAACGAATGTGGCCCATGTACAACTATACGGTGTACAATGGCTCGATGGCCCAGCCGTATGTGAATCCTGGAGCGCCCATTCACATCATTTCGGGTGCTGCTGGCAACCATGAGGGCCGTGAGCCCTTCCTCGAACGCATGCCACCCTGGAGCGCCTATCACAGCCAGGACTTTGGCTATCTGCGCCTGCAGGCGCACAATCGCAGCCACCTGTACTTCGAACAGGTATCCGATGACAAGAAGGGCGAGGTCATCGACCACTTTTGGGTGGTCAAGGACAATCACGGCGCTTACGGGTCCCATCTGGGATCTCAGATGTATGATGCCTGATCTCTGCTGTTAGCTGGCAACTTTGTGATAATCTCCCCCGAAAATCTTGACAAAAGATAAATTAATGGTTTCTCCCTGAAGTGGTTTTATTTTTGATTGTATTTTTGTATCAACGTAATATTTGTATATACCACAAAAGTATCCTGTACAAGTCCTGCATAAGTGGATTTTTATAACGAACCACGTTCCATATATATATATCTGTATTTGTAGCTGTATCTTTAACTGTATACCTGTATCTCTGTTGCCTTTTATCATGCATGTAATCTCTCTCCTTTTTATGCGATATGCAAATAAAACAAAAACTAAATCAATTAAAACTAAACTCTAAATTAGTAAAGCCGCCAGAATGTTTGAGTGAATGATGGACAGCTGCAGAATGTACACACTCTATAGATAAATTTAGTAATCTCTTCCGTATGCCATTGCCAAAGCCACAAAGTCGCTACCTTTCATCTCTTTCTTAAATTTGAAGCCAAGCTAAAACCACAAAAACTCCATTTCCATTGCAGACAGCCTGAGGGACATTACGGTGACCTGGTCGACGCGCGACTCTCCCAATGCCTCGCTGGTGAACTACGCGCGCAATTATGCCAAGGACAAGCTGACTGTGGTGCGTGGCAGCTGGCAGCGCTTCGTTGATGGCGGACGTAAGGCGCGCCAGCAGTACGTTCACAATGTGGTGCTCAGCGACCTGGAGCCGGACACACGATATGAGTACAGCTGCGGCAGTGAGCTGGGCTGGTCGCCGGTGTTTAGCTTTAAGACGCCACCTTCGGGCGAAAACTGGTCACCCTCGTTGGCCATTTTCGGGGACATGGGCAACGAGAATGCCCAGTCGCTGGGTCGTCTGCAGCAGGACACGGAACGGGGCATGTATGATGCCATCATTCATGTGGGGGACTTTGCCTACGACATGGACACGAACAATGCGGCCGTGGGCGATGCCTTTATGCGTCAGATCGAAACGGTTGCCGCCTACGTTCCCTACATGGTCTGTCCGGGCAATCACGAGGAGAAGTAGTGAGTGTACATCACACAAACCAACTGCTGACGTGGCACACCCCATCCTAATCCCTCTTTATCTTTCAGCAACTTTTCGAACTATCGTACGCGCTTCAACATGCCCGGAGAGACGGACAGCCTGTGGTACAGCTTCGATCTGGGGCCCGTGCACTTTGTCTCCTTCTCGACGGAGGTCTACTACTTCCTCAACTACGGCGTCAAGCTGCTGACGAAGCAGTTCGAGTGGCTGGAACGCGACCTGGCTGAGGCCAATCGGCCGGAGAATCGAGACAAGCGTCCATGGATCATTACGTACGGCCACCGTCCGATGTACTGCAGCGACGAAAAGGAATACGACTGCGATGGCAAACTGGAGACGTACATCCGACAGGGTCTACCTCTAATCAAGTGGTTCGGCCTCGAAGATCTCTTCTACAAGCACGGCGTCGACGTCGAGATCTTTGCCCACGAGCACTTTTACACGCGCCTGTGGCCCATCTACGACTTCAAGGTCTACAATGGCAGTGCCCAGCAGCCGTACACAAATGCCAAGGCACCCATACAGATCATTACAGGCTCGGCCGGCTGCAATGAGCAACGTGAACCATTCTCCAACGATCTGCCCGCATGGAATGCCTTTCACAGCAACGTACGTTACACATCTAGTTGATCATTGATCGATGGGTAGATAAAAGTACATACCAAAGGGGATTTATATGGTAGATAAAAGCACATCAAAAAGGGATTCGGATGTTAGGGAAAAGCACATTCCAAGGGGATTAGATTGCACATTCCAAGAGGACTTAGTTGGGAGATAAAAGCACATAAAAAAGGAGATTTCAATGATGGAAAAAACCACATACCAAAGGGGATTTAATTGTGAGATAAAAGCACACATGGGTGGATATAAGCACATACCAAGGGGTATTTAGGGGGTTGATAAAAGCACATCAGAAAGAGATTCTAATGGTAGATAAAAGCACCTCCCAAAGAGGGATTTAGTTGGTGGATAAAAGCACATACGAAGGGGTATTTAATGGGTGGATATAAGCACCTCCGAAGGAGTATTTAGGGGGTAGATAAAAGCACATCAGAAAGGAATTCAGATGGTAGATAAAAGCACATCCCAAAGGAATATATATGGTTGATAAAAGAACATCCCAAGGGGATTTATA